TGGATTGTCAGTTTGGGCTGGGCTCATAGAGGCAGTTTTGGTCTCAGTGGAACTCACATATATGTTTTAGTCAGCAGCTGGCCAGGCTAGGTAATCATGCTTTGGGGGCTTGGCTGGCCTTTAAACTAGGTGAGAAAAGGGGGTACCTGGGATACATGTCTCTCCTCTTGATGAGAAAAACTGAAAAGTCACATTGCTTCTCCCATCAAGAGAATAAAGTTTACTTCTCTACTCTCTGAATCTGAACTGACCCTATAACTAACTTTGACCACTATAATATACAGGAAGCAAAGCCATTTCTCAGCCTAGGCCTCAAGAGGCATGTTTGTTTCTGCTGTTCTTTTTCACAGCTCTATCAGTTACTGATGAAACATTAATGAAATATCACTGAAATGTGAATTGCAATCCAGAGGGGAATGTATGCTTCAAAACTGGCTACATCAGGTACAAAATCAAACTTCCACGATACTGTGTTGCTTCAATAACTTAAGAAAACTCAGTATCTCACTTTTCACCCAACATCCATGAAGCGCTACATTTCCTGAGAAATGACAAGTAATTAGGTTGATAACCTTCTTGTTTTGTCTATTGGAGGCTTTTTGTTCTGCTTTATGAATAGAGCCCAGATTCCTTATGAAGGTGGCTATTACTGTGTGACTTGTAATCAAGCTGACTTTGAACTATGAGTGTAAGGGATTTTTACCATAAAGTGGAGAAATTCACAGAGGGCACTCCTCTAAGATCCTAAAGAAAAGACTTTGAGAGTTGTTAACAGTGACAGGAGATAGGACAAAAATTGACACCCACAGGAGAGACTTCTAGGGGAGTTCATGGCCTCAGAGACCTACAAACTGTGTAGAATTACCTCACCATCCAAGAACCAGTGATCCAGAATAGAGAGTGACCAGGATTTCCATGGCTTCCCATCCCCATTGGAAGGCAACCACAACAGATCCAGTGGGAGAAGTGATAGGAATATGCTTGACAAAGGAGAAACAGGTCAGGTCCAAGTGGAATATATTTATAACCAAGGATGTCTGAAACATTTTGATATTCCCACACTGAGATGAAGTAGGAAAAGATGAGTCTCCAGAGGCACTACAGTGCCTCCCAAAGGAGAGAGATCCAATTCTGGAAAGTACAGTGAACTTTGAGAGCTAGACATAATGCCATAGCTTATGAAGTCAGACCCAGCAAACAAGAACCTGGTGGTGGAAACAATCAGGTTCCCCAGTTATAATCAGCAAACATCCTATCCACAACTTACTCTCAACTCCACACTTGCTTGCCTTGGTATATAGACTACTTTCACTAATTTGACTTCATCAGGATGAGATGAGTCACAAACAAGAGAGATACTTAACCCTGGCAATTCACAAACCCTGCCATGGATAGTCAATTAAGAGTCTATCTCCTTGGTAATGTTTGGTTTCTTGAAATGGATGTTGTTTAAACAGGAATATTCAGTTTTTGAAAATTCATCAAGCTATATATTTATGATACATGCACTATTTCTCTATAATATACATCACTTAACAATTTAAAATTAAAAAAAAAAAAAAAAGAATACCTTCTAAGTTCTTCCAACACTGAGACTTGAACTTTGCTTTGGCTGTGTTGAAAAGAAACATGCAGGGGCACCTGGGTGGCTCAGTCGGTTCGGCATCCAACTTTGGCTCAGGTCATGACCTCACAGCTCGTGAGTTCGAGCCCCACGTCAGGCTCTATGCTCACAGCTCAGAGCCTGGAGCCTGCTTCCAATGCTGTGTTTCCCTCTCTCTGCCCCTACCCAGCTTGCACTATGTCTCTTTTCTCTCTCAAAAAATTAATAAATATTAAAAAAAGAAGAAGAAACATGCAGTCACAGATTGTAACCATGCAATATCTTCCAAAGAAACAAATTCTCCTTTTCACAGTACTTATGGTCACAACCTTTGGAATGAAAGAAAGAATCACACAGACACTCCTGGCAGATGCCCCAGGGTGCAGTGACACTGAGAAGGGAAGAAAGAGATAAGGGTTCTTGCTAGACTGTAAATAGAAAGACTGGGGGATAAAAATGACTATTAACTTCCAAGTTATGAAATGTAACATAGGTTTTACTAGGGTGTGACCAGAAATATTTCATAATCCTTTATTGTGAGAAGAGCAATCACAGAGACAAAACCATGACATTTTTAGAGAGTGTATTAGAAAACACCACAGTTGTCCATCTGTGAGTCTATCTCTGTTGTGTCTCCTTTAATTACTACCACACTCACACAGGACACTTCAGGCACTTCTGGTCACCAAATATGTGAAGGATTCCCCCCACATATCAAATCCACCAAGAATTTCTAAGGCCCACTGGCACATGAGGTAGATCCAAAACTAAAGATAAATGATTTCACCATTTCCAATTTCCCTCTGCCTATTCATTTCTTCATTTCTATCTCTTCTGCTCTACCCCTCTACTTGAATATACAGTAATTGTAGTAATTCTGTACCACACCAGCTGTGTCCTACAATTCAACTCATATCTGACTCTGTCTCTCTGAGGTACAGTCAGATCCCACACGTTAAGGGCTTAGTCCCACAAGACTGCCTACTTCCAACTTCAGAGGCCAGTTGCAAATCCAGACAGTCACATGTACTTCTGACAGACTGGCTGTAGACTGGGGAGTTCCAACAACCCCCAACTTGGACTTCAGACACCAGTCACAAGTTTAAGTTTTTACCTGTCTTTCTGATTGACACATTATAGATGGGAAGTTCCCACCACCTCAACCTTGGTTAATTTGCTAGATAGTAGTTCACAGAACTCAGAGAAACATTTTACTAGATTGATGGTTTTTTATAAAAGGCTCTAACTCAGGAACAGACAGATGGAAGATATGCATAGGGCAAGGTATGGGGAAAAGGTGGAAAGGGCATGGAGCTTCCGTATTCTCTCACACTACATGCCACTTTCCCCAAATCACCACACACTTACCAACACAGAAGCTCTCCAAACTCCATCCTTTGGGTTTTTAATGGAGGTTTCATTATAGAAGCACAATTGATTAAATCATTGATTGATTCAACCACCAGCCCCACTCCCCTTCCTAGAGGTCAAGGAGAGAAAGGAAAATTCTAACCCTCTAATCACATGGGTAGGTTCTCCAGGCAACCTTAGGTTGGTCCAAAAGTCACTTTGTTAAAATAACAAAAGTAGCTTCATCACTCTCATCACTTAGGAAATTCCAAGGGTTTCAGGAGCCCTGTGCCAGAAAGGAAGAAAAGCCCAGACACATATTTCATATCATAAATAACAATGTCACAGAAAGTTTTTACAGGTAAATATCAGGTTCTATCCATCCTCAAGGGAGCTGGGCTTTGTTTCTTTGACTGAGACCATACCGTTTGGGCTCACTTGGATATATTCAAGTAGAGTGGTAGGGCAGATGAGATTGAAATGAAGAAATGAATAAGCAGAGGGAAGGTGGAAATGGTGAAATCTTTAATGATCATGCAACGCAGCAATGATGATATAAGTTATTAAATTTTATCCAAGCTAATTTTTATATGAATTTGGCTTAATTTCAGCAATGGGCTCTGTCCATATGTGTTTGTTCTTTATATTACACGGATCATTTATTCACAATTTTAAAAACCAATGAAAATGACCGTGAAAATCTCTTGAATTTATGACATTATTTTTTTTCTCCTTCAGTTTAGTAGATAAAGGAGAGACTATAATTTATTGAATTATAAGAAGTGTTCTAGGTTAACAAAATCAGAAATGTTATTGCCAATAGTCATACTTGTTAGTTTCAATCAGGAACAAAGTGTTATACCTAATAATGATACCAATTATTACATGTATAAAAAAGAAAAAATTGGAGGAATATACAGCAGATTACCTGAAAATAGTATTATCTTAGGAAATAACAGCCTAATATCAAGAATGTTGCTCCATTTTTTCTCTTTCCATGTGGTATAATTTTATACTCTTAAACTTTGCATAATTCTCATGATTGACATTTGTAATTTAAAAAGTTAAAGGGAAAATAATTATTCTTTTTAGTCCTTGGATATGGTTGACTCTCTGAAACCCTAGCATTTTATACGATAGAGACAATTTTCTTAAGAGTGAAGTACTTCCCCTTACTATCAAACATTTTTACAGAACAGTGAAGAACATGATGACATCAGTTTTTCCTAAGGCCTGCTTACTTCTTGACAGTAAATTAGGCATTGAAGTATATAACTTTTGAGTTGTGCTGGGAGTCCAACTCTTCCAGATCTTCCATGCTTTGGTTTAAGAGCTGAATGAGTTCATACAATTCCATGAGTAGAATTGACTCAAAATAGACGCACTATAGACAATGTGGAGGTTGTATTTTTGATATTATTTCTCAACTATGCACGGGACCTTAAAAACATAAAACCAATCAAAATGGAAATGTGCTGTTTACTATTTGGTCTGATATCAAATTATAGAATCTTTCAACTAGGATGGGATTTTTAGGCATCAACTGACCAAATCTCATTTTTTAGGTAAAGGAATAGAAGCCTTCAGGGGTTAAATGAACCTGATTTGTAGTAAGGTTGTTAGAATGAATGCTACTGGAGAATAATGAATTGGTTTAAATTAAATTTCTATGGGGTGCCTGAGTGGCTCTGTCAGTTGAACCTCTGACTTCAGCTCAGGTCATGATTTCACAGTTAGTGAGTTTGAGCCCCGTGCTGGGCTCTGTGCTGACAGCTCAGAGCTTGGAGCCTGCTTTGGATTCTGTGTCTCCCCTCTCTCTGCCCCTCCATCTCTTGTGCTGTTTCTCTCTCTCAAAAATAAACATAAAGAAAAATTTTTAATTAAATTTCTGTAGACATATCTCAGCATTTTTTCTTGTTGATGTATAAAAGGACCTCCAATACAAGCTTTAAAATTATTTGTGAGTTTCAACGTGTGGAGGTAAAGTTTTACATTTGTTATGTAATCTCCTCAGTCCTTTGGGATAAAGCAATGAGGGCCCCTCCCAAAGTTCAGCATAGTATGTGACTTTTCCTTAAAGTAACCATAAAGTGAATCATTTTAGTAACTGTTTTTTGCAGTTTTAAAGTTCCTGTCTATTCCCAAACGTACAAACTCCGCAATGCCGTAGATGTGGAGTTGAGATCTGAAGATCACATGAATACAATTGGCTGTAAAGAAGAGTCACAAGAGGTGGAAATCACAGCTTAAGAGCAAAAGTTATTTCTCCATTTTAGATTTCCAATTGAAAACAAGAAACTTCTGTAAGAAAAATGTTCCTTGAAATAAGATGTAGAGGGCTTCCAATACCCAAACTCAGTTTTTCCACAGATGGGGAATGTGTCAATTATTCAATGTTGATCTTATAGAATTTGGTCCAGAATGCCAGACTTCTAAGTTAATGCTCTTTGGGTGGTAATTCCTGTAAGATAGAAATGATCAAAAGCAAATTTAATATTGAAAACAGGTATGCTTCCTGGATTTGGATGAAAACATATATTCATGTGTATTGAAAACAGGAAGGAATACAGTTGTGGTGAGGGTACAGGTCAAAGGGGTTGAGTGTCAGGGTTCTCTTGGGGCAGCTCTACTTGTCAACATCTGGGGTTGTCTTGTAAAGATCACCACATCTTTGGGCCTGGTGTACAGTGATAACTGGACTTTGGTCCCAAACAGCTGCATTTCTGATTTATCTACATCTGTGATTCTCATCCAGCCTTTCATCCTCTTTAGAAAGGAGATTTATTCCTCTTCTCTCTCCCAATCGCTTACTTGATATATCCTCTTTTTGGCAGAATTCTTCAGCAAAAGCTTGGTTCTGCTTCTTAAGAAAAAGCAGAATGATGATAATTTAATGGTTTAAATCATATGTTGTTTAGCTTTTCATTATCCATAACTAGAGTTTAAAAAAAGCATTCACACACACACACACCCACTCATACACACACACATGCACGCACACATGGTAATGAGGGAGAACTCAGCAAAAATGTATAGAATTACTCAATTCCTTAAAACAGTAGTTCTACTCGGGGTGCCTCGGTGGCTCAGTTGTTTAAGTGTCCGACTCTTGACTTCAGCTCAGGTCATGATCTCACAGTTTGTAGGTTCCAGCCCTGCATCTGTACTGCCTTCACAGAGCCTACGTGGGCTTCTCACTCTCTCCCTCACCTTCTGCCCAACTCCTGCTCGCACTTGCTCTCTCTCTCCCTCTCTCAAAATAAATAAATAAACATTTTAAAAATTAAAAAAAAAATAATGGTTCTATTGGGGGGGAAAAGGATGGAGAAACAAACCAAATTTAATCATTATATCATAAGTATAACTTATATCATATCATATCATATCATATCATTATATCATAAGCATATATATATGTTATACTCCTGGTTGTTATGAGACTTTGAATCCAAGAGAAAAATACCATTTTTTTATGAAGTAGAAAGCTCAAAATAAGCACTAAGTTTAATACCAATAATCTGAGATAGGAAACAGTAGAGCACAGGCCACATTACCCTTCTAGTTTGATATTCACCCAGCTGAGGCCCCTGGTACAACCATCTCTATCCTTTAAGTAATATTACAGGTGATGTTCTTAAGTTATAATAAAAATACACTCTCTACTTTGACTCTCATGGAAACAATAAGGACCAAAGTTTGGCAAGGAACCATGGCCTCCCTTTTGAAGGGCTCTAGAGGGCCATCAAACGTCCCAAATCCGTGGAAAGCTCTCACTGAACAGATAGAATCTAGTTTGAACAACTCCCAAAGAAACTAAAATGAGGCAAACATTGCCAGGTTGGCTTTACCATATTTCTTAGAAAACCTTAAGTGGTGAAACCTTTGAATGTATTTGAGGAATTTTTATTCCTCAGCTGTGGTATCCACATTATTGTCTTCATTCAACCTCCATTCTTACCCATGATCTGGAATCTGGGATGTTGGGAAGCTAACTTGGTGGCAGAGAGGGAGAACGCCTGGCTTGAAATGGTGCCAGAAAACAAGAACTTGGAAGCACTTTGCCGGTCTTCGCAGGGACACGTGCCACTGAACCCCGGAGATACAGCCGAGGTCCGGGGAGCCTTCTTACTGGGTGATACATTCAGCTCATTTCTAGAGGCAGGTTGCATTCGCCCTTTCCCAAGCCTAAACCTTCAAAACCTCCTTCCCTTAGAATCTAAAATACTCTTGATATTACTTCCAGATAAAGGTAGAATCACTGAGGATGACTTTCTTTTTCCAAATTCAACTCCCAGTGGTCATATCTTATTTCACCAGTCTCACGTTCTCCTTCTTTTCCCCTTTTCCCCCAGATGACTTGCACCCTTAAGCCATGTGAAATTAATTTTGGATCAAACCTTTAGACACCAGTCTTCAAGTTCTATTAAAATATTTTTCAACTCATTTCCTTGTTTTTCCCTAAAGGTAAATCACTAAACAAAATGCTCTTTTGTGAACAGTAAAAATTATTTGTCAACAAATAGCAAATTTTTCTTCCAGTTGATGTTAAGTGGCTTAAAGGTAAGCTAGACACAATGCAGTTGTTTATGGACCAGTAATGCCTTTATTTCATGGTGGTGTTCAATGTAGTACAGCTTCCCTTTTACAGTTCCAGTGATGGAAGGTAGAGATAACAAGATCTGTCTGTGTGTTTTATGGACTCTCTCTTCTCCAACATTTCATGAGGTAAATGAAAATGATGTCTTATGTCATTTTCCGTTGATAAGCATCATCATACCCACTATGCATCCCATAGCTTTTAATAGAATAACCTTCCTGCATAGCCTTCAGTAGATTCTGAAACAAACTTCTATGCTGTCTCCACACCCTTTAATTTATGTGGTTGTCAAATGAAAAGGTGCATGGCTTGAAACAAGATTGGACACACTTTGAGAACATGTTAGAGTTTTAATAACAGAAATTACATTGTACATTTGTATAGCACTCCATGATTTTAAAAGAAATTTCAGCAAAGGAAGATATTAGATTCTAAAGATTCCAGTCTGTAAGAATGACTTAATCACCTTATTGCTGTTTGCTGATAAATGTCTCCTTGTTCTTTTGGTATCACACTAAAATGGCATATTCTTAGGAGACATTAAGTAATTATTTTTCTCACATGGAAAGAAACTAACAAGGTAAATGAGGTAAATGTCATTTTGTGTTATTTAATAATACTTTTCAAAAGACAGGTTCAAAGGACTTTAGGAAACCTTGCAACAATGGTGTTTTCATACCAAATGTTTGATAACTCAGATGAAGAACAGATAGTTTACTTCCTAGTTTTGTTTAAGTTAAAAAACTTTTTTTAGGTTGAGTGTATGTGCAAGCTACATTGCATTATGGAACAAATTTTTCTTTTGAAAAAATTTTGAAAGTACAGAAGGAACTAAAGAGAAATATACTGAACATTCATGATTTTACCACCCAGTATTGATATTTACAACATTCTGTCATAAAAAGGATGATGTTGAAGTTTCCTTTGTGATTCATTGATTTTGCAAAGTATTTTTGTAGAAGTGGAATTATAGAAGTGGGGTCTTCATTAACTCATACTGTCAAATCTGTTTTCCCGAGGTGCAGTGCCTTGTGATGAGACCTGGAGGCAGCCAAACAGGCAAACTCAGATACACCCTGTCCTCTCCAGCATATAGCCATCATGGTATTTGCCGTTTACTTACCCTCGCCATGACTACCCAAAGAATGAATACTTCAACATAAACTAATGGTATAAATAACCACTGGTGATTACTATTGGGGATCTCATCAACAATAATTTCATTCCTGAACTGATAGAAATGTATTAATTGTTTGGAGAGATTTGCCACTGCCAACAGTTAATATAGGCAATTTTCTCATATGATGAGAAAAATCTACATAATTCCTCCGTGTTGCCAGTGAAGCAATATAGAGACTATAAATATAATTTCCCTCCTAAGTAGGAAAACATTCAGCAACTTTTTTTTTTTTTTTTAAAGGTAGTGGGCTTATTTCTAAATTACTTTGAAGGCTGAGTATTTAAATGTTAACTTGGGTGCTAGCTCTCTCAGGGAAAAAAAAATAGGAAGATGAAACAGAGGAACATTCCTAGAAATGAGTGTGTGACCTATGTGGTCCTTACAGTAAATTATACTAATTATACATTTATGTTTATGTGTTGTGATCCTATTAAGCTGATAGAACTTTTCCATTCAGTGGGCAGGTTGATTTCCTGTAGTCCCCCCGATTGCTTGAAGAGGTATATTGTTTTCTTGTGTTTCCATTACAACATAGAGACTAAGAGGGAATCCTCTGTGGTATTTTCACATAGGTTGTGAATCTTTTATCTGGTGGCTGTATTTGTATCTGAAGGGTGAATATTAATAGCCTCTTGGCAGCAGGGTGACTTTCTTAAAAAAGGGGTTTCCCTGTGTATGGGTGGATTAACCTTTCAAAATATATGTTTCTACTTAAACCACTTAGTTACAGTTTGATTCAAAGAGTCATAAAGACAGCCTCTTCACATCTCTATTAGACCTTGTAGTATGCTTACCTAGGACTGAGCGGGACTTTCAGTATTGAACATGGTGAGTAACATAACGCCGTGCGACTTTACTTTCATTTCGCTTGCTTATCAGAGTCTGCTGTAACTTAATTTCTTTTTTAAGTGCCTAAAGTTTTTGTATTAAAATGACCTGTGTGATCGATTATAAGTTTGGTAATATAGCAATTAAGATATGGCTTCATGTATCCCGAGTGGGAAATGGAGCTTATAAAATGTAGTAATGTGTGGTGTTATTCTTTAAAATTGTTACAGCTTTTACCAGTTACCCCTTTGTCCACAACAGATAACCAAGCTTTGAAATGACACACTTAACTATATGACTATTATCCTAGTTACTTAATTCTTTCTAACAGTTTTGCAAGTAGTAACACAGTTTAAGTACTCATGTAAATAATTTTACTATGCTTTGTATAATACTATGTATTATAATCCTGACTAAGCAATAATCAGTGCAAGGATTCAGGCAGTGTGTGCCCCTGTAGCAGGTGTCCTTCACCGCATCTTTCATGGTGACACCTCTTCATGTTGACGGGAAGCATAAAAAATTCTTAAAAAGTATATTTCTAAATATAAAGTCACGGGATTGCTTTATTCAAATAGTCAACTTTTCCAAAGGAAATTGAAACATAAACTTCCTTGTGCATCATTTAGGTGTAAGCAAGCAAATGGACATACAAGGAAAGTTCCTGTTAAAAGTCTGAGGTGGACAAAAGGACACGAAATGCCTGTGAGCATAGGGACAATGTTTCATGAATCTAGCAACAATAGATTTCTGCCTTTGCCAAAATATTTCTTGTTGTGAAATGCAGAGGGACTTCATTCTCAGGAATCTCTTCTTAGGTCATGCTCTGTTGCAGAAACTCCAAAAGCCCTCTTTTAAATGACAGCATCCACAAACCTGTCCCTGTTAGCATAAGGCTTGCATACAGCCCTAACATTATTTGTGACAAGCATGTATTTGTACACTGGTCCAGTGTTAACTCACCATTTTCAGATATGCTTTCCTCAATTCTTTGAGGGAATTTTTTAAAAAATCAGAATTGTAATATGCTTTTTAAAATCTGGAAAAGAAGAGGAAACATATCTTCTCATTTTCTCCTTTTCTTTCCAAGCTCTGTCTCTCTGTCTCCCTCTCAGCTTGCTTCTATTCTCTCTCCACTAAGTCTACAATTTCATGACTGTAATATTGGCTTCCAGTACAACTTCTCCAGTGAAATTTGTGGCCCCTGGACCGTTTCACAATTTTAATGAGCTAAGTGACACATGCAGAAAGAAGACTT